TCCAGTCTTTGTCAATAGTTCAATTCAGAGTGGATTGGCACAGAAATGTCATTTAAGCCCAACGGTGCATCATTCCATGTGGAGCTTAAAGAAGTCTTTATCAAAAGCTGTAGTGTGGACACAGATTACTCTGCAACTCTGAGTGAACACAGCGGTGTGGTTTTGGAAACAGTTGCATCCTGAGATTTATCATGTTTCTCTGAATCTCTAAAACTCTACTGTAAAAATCATTAACCTTGATTACAGTAATTGCTACTGCAGCACTAGTGAGAAGACAGTGCAATCTTGGGCACAGGCTATCTTGGCAATTTGCAGACCATCCTAGATGTGTTTGGTTTTGTCTTTGATGTTGATTCACTTTGCAGTTGTGTGAGGATTACCGTATGCCCAGTTTCTCTGTTTGAGTATGGATATTTTTTTTAACAGCTCAGAAGATGCAAATATTTTTCTCAGTGGTTCAGGTGTAAAGAGCTTTATGTTCATGTGAGTTTGTTCTGCTGTCTCTTTTTTAAGCATAATAATTTTTTGGTAGTTTCACCAGAAATAAAATCTACACTAGAAAAAGTCCTGTATATGAGATAATTAACCTGAGAAACCGAAGTGACACTTGCCAGAAACTTGTCACTGAAGAACTGGGCGGGCTTACTGGAATTGAGAAGACTCTTATTTGTTTTTGCTCATTAGAAAGATTAAGAATTGTGATTTGCTGGATAGTCATTAGTTGGACCTCTTGTTTATATTTCATGTATCTTTACGTTAAGCCTAGGTTTTGGGCTAGAACAAAACAGTATCTTACCTGTTTAGTAGAGAGGAGTAGCAGAAAATATGATGAGGAATGCCTTCAGTCAAAGCAGAGGGTTCCTGCCTTGGAAGAACAAACACATACAAGCAAACAGGCAGCCACATAGGGAAAATGATTTCTTCAGTTTGAAGAGCACTGCTCCTTTGTTTTTCACGTGAAAGATGCAGAAATGGTACATTTGTACAGGGCATTTTCTGTATCATCTTGGAGCACTTCTTTATTCCACTGCAGTCTGTCTTGGGTACCAGCAGTGCCTGATGCTGCAAGTGTTAGGAGCATGATCCTGAAGTCTCTCTTGTGTCCTTGGGGATGTCAGCGAGTATAAGATAGCAAGGCTAACGGGCTGCCCTGATTATCCAGGTGATTCTTCCTTTGGCATCCACAGACTAAGGAATTTCTTTTTAATTGTGATTCTGAAAAGTACACTTTTATCCATTTAGATTTAAGCAGTTTGCTGTGAGTTCTTTGACTAGGACTATTCTTATTTCAAAATCAGATCTATGATTTCAGCCCCCAAAATTTTTGTCAGCAAGTTCTAAAAGTTTTCAATTTTAGTTTTGGGGGTTTTTTGTTTGTTTTTGGTTTTGTTTTTTTAAATTCTTACTTCATACGTTCTCCTTAGCTTTTGTTTGCCAAGTAGATTGTTTCCTGAACTCACATAGCTGGTTTATTTGTATCATCCTCTTAGAAATACTCTGGTATGCTGATGTTCTTGAAGCACAGACAGCAGAACTGGATGTGGTATTTCACTACCTGTGAGCTTGTTTAAAGTTGAAATCTGCTACTTGGTCTGTACTGTTTTAAAATACTTGTATGGCTTAAATCCATTACATGCATACTTGTATAATTTGGTGTTAAACTTGTGTTATTAAATCAACTGTGGAAGCATCCTCATTTTCAGACACAATGTGTTTGAGTACAGAGTTTCCACTAGATTATATCTGGGTGATGTGTTCCAGTTCTAATGGAAGTTCTTGTATATATCCTGTGTTGCTAGTGGTTGACTGGATCGCTTGCTTACTTAAGTAATCAATTTACACTAAGTTTTTTTAAGGATCTTGTTAATTTACAGGTCATTTTAAAAAACCCCTCAGATTAAATCAGGTTGGCCTCTTGCTAGGATTTTTGTCATTTCTGCAGTTGAATCACTTACAGCTGTACCTATAATACATAATACCTGTAATCCAGAGTTTATGCCATGAGGTGAATTGCACTGCAGGCACAGTCTGCACTGGCCCCTGTTGATAAATCCGCATGCCTCTGGATTCTTGAAGGTGTTAGCTTAGGTCTTGAAAGCAGCACAGCTGTGTTGGTGTTGCAGTGTCCGGCCTCCGAGATTTGCAGGTGTGAGCACAGTGCCACGATAACTTGCTGTTGTGTTTTTTGTGGGTTTTTTCCCCAAGTGGATTTTCCTTATTGCTCAGAACCAAACCTAAAATGTGCTGTTTCCCTAGGGATGTCACCTGGTTTTGGGGAGGGGGAAGCTGTCACCTACACCCTTCAGGAATTCAATAGGGAATTCCTTTCTGCTGCTTCATAGGTATCCAGCTAAAACCTTTGATCTTCCCTTAAAGTTTGTTCAGAATGACTTCATCTGTTTTCTGGTTTGGTGGCTAGAGCACCTAAGGACAATTTATCATGTCATCATCCTCTGCCTTAAATGTGTTATAGTTGTATGTACATAGACCTCTGTATGTGTCTGTAAAGTATATATGTAAATATACAGAGAGAGCAAGACTTCTGTTTTCTTTCCTTTCTTCCAAACCCACTCCTTCCACAGTTCAGTGTTTCATCTGAAATGCTTCAGATTAATCTTGAAATGGATTTCAGTCAGGCTGAAATGGTTTGGTTTCTTAATGTGAAGCAGTTCGAACTTTGGCTAATGAAACTTCGTATTTGACTTCAGTGTGAAAATGTGGCTGTGCTCTAGAACTTGTTACTACCAGTAACTGCTTTTTGTTCTTTAGTTTCCAAGAACTGAGTTGTGTAGGTAACTCTTAGAAGACCAAAGGATTGCAAAAATGGAACTTTTGGGACAGTTGTAATAATGAAAGCCCCTCAGTACCTCAAACTCTGTGTTCTGATGCACGTACTTCCTTGCAGACTTACAGAACCTGTTCATGATTAGTAATTTAGGAAAATTTGCCAACTGTTGTGTGTGTTAAATCCGATTTACATACAACCTACAAACTGATACAAGTTCTATTGATTGGGTAACTTGTGAACCAAGTTAATTCGCTTTGAACTTTCTAGGGCAAAACAGTGTGCTAAATGTTTCTTGTTTGTGTCAATCAAGATTATTGTTGTGTATTGGTCGTTGAAATAAACCATTTAAGAAATGGTCTTTTGGTCGCTGCTTCCTTCAGCTTCTAGATCAAAGAGGAGTGTGTGTCTTCTAGTCAGTGCCTTGCAGCTGACAGGGCAAAGATTTAAGGACGGATAAGGTTCACAAGCAGTTGCTCCCCATCATTCTAATACCACTCTGTCATTTTTGAGCTGGAATTAGCGTGGATCCATTCAGCTGAAAGCACAGATGGAGCAAGTATTTGTTTGCTTTTATTTCTGTGTGGACATATTCCAGTCGAACCAGAAGAGTGATGGTGATCACCAGCAAAGGAGCAAATGATTGCTGTCTTTACGCTTAGAGCAATGAAGCAGCAGCCATCCGCAGCAACGTCGCACTCTTGCCTGCATTTTTATTTTTTAAAATCGTTGCTAGATCTCTGTGTTCTCAGGAGCACTGTTGATGCTTCCTTTGATTTGGTGTAGCTTCACCACAGTGTGTTAATCTTGGATGTATGTGATCCCTACAGAGATCAGGATGCTGGAAACCTCGCTTTTTGCTGAGAAGTAACATAGTTACTTATCCCTCTCTAATCGTAGTCCGATATAGTGAGAAGAGCTAGATGCATCTTGGACAAATTCTATACCTGTTTATGATTCAGGCTTAAACACTGGCTGAAGGCTTGCGATTGGAAATTTGGAGACTGAGCAGCCATAAATTAAAAGGAATGTAGGTGTGGTGCTTTGGCAGTGTCATCAGGGACTGGCTTCTCTGCTTAGGTAAAATGTTAAAACACATGTAAAGATAAAAGATGACTATTTAGGAAAGGTATATAGTGGTCAAAAGTACTTAACGAGTGTATTGCTTGCTGTTCTGCTTGTATTTCAGGCAAAAGAGAATATCTTAGCAATTCCCTGTGTACTGAAGCTGCACTTTTTCATCCTGCCCTACTCATAGAAAGTGTCAAGTTGCTGCAGTGTGAATGCACATTAAAAACAAGCTCTGATCTGATGATGCATTGAATCTGAAATAAGATGCTTGAGAGGAAAACTGCTATGCTGAAGTAGACTTTACAGTCTTGGACTGTTTGACATTATGAACTAAAATTATAAGTGGAAGACTTCAGTCTTTACATGCCTAAAATATTTTATCACAGACATATATTTGTCAAAATTTTATGAAACTATATTTTGATTGATTCATTGGGGTTTTTTTACTGCAATAATTTTTGACCCATTTTCCCTGTGTGTGAAAACTCTTCCAAAGTATCAAGTTTGAAAATGGGTTTGAGAATATTACTTTTGTAAGTGCTGAGTGCCATCACTCTGGTGGTACTGGTAGTCAGCAGAACAGTGCTGGTGTTACTGTACTATTAACATATATACACACAGCCTGCAATAGATACTCAAAAGCAGTATCTCTGAACCTGATTTTCTATATCTAGATGTGAAAGTATGTACAAACTTATGTGGGGTCAGTATCTAAATGCAACTCATGTGTATACAGTTTTCTACCCAAATTAGCTCATATGGTCAAACTATAATGAAATGTAAGAAGAAATACCTGCTACTAGGATTATGTTGGCAAGAGATGCAGCTGTGGGTTTATGTAGTCCAGGAGCTTTGGTTTGTGTCAGTGGAAAGTACCCTCCACTACCACCAAAATACTAGGGAGACTTTTTTGCCAAGTGCTCTTCCAAAGTGCCTTCCCTACGCTGACAGAAGCAGTTTTGTCATAAAATTTGTATTGCTGATATCTAGTGTGGATTTTTCTTCTGTGCTAGCAAAGCCATAACTGAGGCTTAGACACACAGTGCATTCTGCTAGTGAGTAAAGGATTAAATGCTGGGGTTTTTTTTTAATACTCAACCGGGAGCATATGGAGCATAACTTTTTTTTTCCTGTTCTTTTCCAGTTTAGGTCTAATATCAGATTCTTTTCATATGTTTTTTGACTGTACTGCTCTACTGGCCGGATTAGCAGCTTCAGTTATTTCAAAATGGAGGTCAAATGATGCTTTCTCATATGGGTAAGAAACTTCAGGCTGTTACCTTAATGTATGTTAATAAATGTCTAGGGAGTAATTTTTCACTGTATGAACAAAACCTCTTTTTGCAGAACATGGAAAAGCTATGTTGAAAGTGTGGGTTTTTAAGGTGAGTTATGTAAACCTTTAATATTGCCCTAGAAGTAGTGAAAATGTGAAGGCATTGCTTGTAGGGAGCAGGTCTATCACTTCTAAGATGTCTGTGATCATACCAGTGAAAGCAAGTTTTGCAGCAGAGAGTTGTCCTGTGTTGTCATGTGCATTACCAGTGAAGTAAGAGCAGCCGCATCGCGCGTCTGTGCTCACAGCGCAGTGCCGTGCATTACAGGGAGTCTCAGAGTGCTGGTGCCCTGTGCTGCTTTTAGAACAGAGTGTTACAACTGAAAGGGGCTAAGTCTCAGTGATGCTGCCCTTGAGACTGATTATGAGCCATCCTTCTCAGAGCCAGCAGGATTCGACAGCTGTGGCTGTTACTAACACAGAGCCTCTAGGCTGAGGTCCGTCATCCCAGGCCACCCTTCCTGGAGACAGCTGCTGCAGCTGGTTCTGTTTCCGGGGCACTTGGTTGCACTGCATGTTGCAGTTGTGCCCTATAAAACAATACTGGTGATACAATATTCTTAATTGTTTATACTGATTAATTAACAGCAAATTGTTTTAATGTTAATGGTTTTAAAGTAGAAAAGGGCAGATTTAGGCTGGATATGAGGAAAAAGCTCTTCACCATGAGGGTGGTAGATCAGTGGCACTGGTTGCCCAGAGAGGTGGTGGAGGCCCTGTCCCTGGAGATATTCAAGGTCAGGCTCGGGGGCTCTGAGCAACCTGATCTGGTACCAATGTCCCTGCTCACTGCAGGGTTGGACTGGATGAGCTTTAAAGGTCCCTTCCAACCCAATACATTCTATCATTCTATTCTGTGGTTCTAACTGAGCTGTAACATGGGTTGCTACATTCCCCATAGCATTACTGACCTGAATGTCAGCATTTAGCTTCAGCTGTCTTGCCTAAGCATGGACCCTGTAGTTTGAAACTTAAAGCACTGCTTAATTAAGGTGGAAATTCCAGTGTGCCTAAAAATCAATTTAGGAAGAATTGATTGTACCATGAACTAATTGCAATGAAAGCAGATTCTGTATTAATTACTGCTCTGCATTTAAACAGCTCATGCTCTGTTTATTAGAGAGCAGCCGCAATTTATTAACTCTCATGTTTGCTGTGTTGGAATTACGTGTTATTCTAACCTGTCTGGTTCTTACTGGAAAAATTTAGTAGCTGAAATAATTTCTAGTTAAAACTTTTACGAAAAATCCCCCTACTAGAGGATGAGCAAATTGGTGTATGGTTCTGTTCGATATTAAACAGAACTTCAGCAGACTTCAATTACATCTCACGTGCTTATCTTACTTTGTTGGCTTCCAAATATACGTTTATACCGTAACTTCCAGTAGAGATGATCTTAAATGAAATGATTTTGACATATTGAAAGTTTTTATTTTCATCTAGATCAGGTAATTTCTGTCAAAATACAACATAATGAATTTAGTATACTTATCTGTAGTTTATATACTGCATCTTCCATTCAGCAAATCCCTGTGTAATACAACTGTGTGAAAACTAGAAGATTGTACTCCAGTCTCTAAGTTCTGCTTTTAATTTTCAGCATCTATGTGGAAATGGTAATATTTGCTATTGCTTTTTTTGTTTCTTGCAGGTATGTTAGAGCAGAAGTACTTGCTGGTTTTGTAAATGGCTTATTCCTCATCTTTACAGCATTCTTCATTTTTTCTGAAGGTGTAGAGGTATGTTACAAAGTCAGTTCACTATCAATTGTCACATTTGTAGTTGTAAAGCATATTTAATGGGAGAAATTGATCAAAACTTATTATATTAATGATTGATTAAAAATCTGGGATTTGAGCAGAGGATAGGACCATCTGAAATTGCTGGTTTGTGACACAGCTTTTCCAGTGTATCAGTACTAGCTTCTTAAATAGTGTCTTTTGATTGTGTATAAAAATTCTAGGAGATTTACCCTGTCCTTTTTTCAGCCAGTTGAGTATGTCATAGAAAGATCTTTTACTTCTCACTGTTAAAGGACAAAGAAGGCCAAGAAAGGCCAAAACTAGTCATGCAGAGAAAAGAAGTTATTAGTCTCAAGAAATGGAAATACATTCTGTGAAGAAGTTGGGCTAACTCATTAAAGAAAGAGGATTATCTTCCACATTTTGAAATCTCATAGAAATTATAAGTAGTAATCGCTTTAACATTTACAAGGGGCCTTTTCTTGAATTTTTTTTTACAAGATGGTTCAGGTGATAATTTCAAGACTAAAATTTAGACATCAAGGGTGTCATGCACTGAAGTGAGGTAAAATTAAGAGCGAAGTTGATACCTGATTCTGATCAGTTTACATTAATGCCTTTTTTTTACAGATGTGCTATAACTTTGTTTAGACTTCCAGTTCAGGATACGTTCTAGTGGGATTTTTTTTTTAATTACTAAAGAACTGAGAAGACTTTTCAGGAACACATCCTCTTTGTACATAAGCCTTCAAAATCAGGACATACTGGGCTGAAATTGCCTAAAAGCTTGGGCAAACTTCACTCCAAATCTAGAAACAGCAACAAAACTTACTAGAAAAATTACAAACTACTACTGGAAGGGTCAAGGGTAATGTTGAAATATCATTCTTTTCCCGCAGGTCTTAGCTCCCATGCTAAGCATTCCCTTTGTGATGGTGACTCCTTTTTTTCTGTCACTTCAAAATTTTACATCACGCTATTGCCTGTGCCTTTCATCCCTTTGGACAGCTGGTGAATGTTTCTCTCCCCTGTCAGCCTGTCATGTGTCATTGAAAAAAAAACTTCTGAAGAAAGTAGGGTAAAAAGAATTAAAAAAAACTAAATCTAGATTTTAGACGTTTTTAAAAATGCCACGATTTGTTCTCAGTCTTCATTTCATTCCCCTCATCCCCTCACCCCTCTAAGGAGAAAGGAAGAAATGGCATTCTAGACTCTTGGAAGTTGTTTGGATGACTTGGGCTATCCACGTACTACAGCAAACTTGTGTGTTCATATGGTGTTGAGCCACATCCCACAGCGTGATGAAACCTTATGATAGAAGTTAGCTAGACTATCGGAATATTCTACTTCCACAGCTTTAGTGATAAAACTTCAGACAGTAGGAATTAGTCTGTGTACCATTCCAAAAACTGAAAGTCCTGAGTAATTTCCAGTTATGTCTTTACATGCCTGTTTGTATGAGAATGCTTCTGTATCTAAGCAGTTTTTTCAGTGCCTTTTAATGATGTAGAGATTATAAAACTGCATTTGCATCTCAGCTTGTTGTTTTGTTTTGGTTGGTTTGTTTTTCAGAGAGCACTTGAGCCTCCTGATGTGCATCATGAGAGACTTCTTCCTGTTTCCATACTAGGATTCATTGTGAATCTTATAGGAATATTTGTTTTTCAACACGGAGGTCATGGGCATTCACACGGCTCTGGTAGGATGTCTGTAATTTTCAGTACTGTTTCCTGTCTTGGCATCCTATGTTCCACGACCTTATAATTCTTCAGTGAGAACCCCAGTGTTAAATCTTGGTCCTTTTAGTGGCAATCCTAGCCAAATGTATCTATGACTTGTTGTTGTATTGACTTTGTTTTATCACCAGCCTTATTATGTCACTACCGTACTTCTCATGTTAATATCTGTTAACTGGAAGACCTTGAACTCCAGAATCTGCCTTCTGGAACATGTACTCCTCTGTACCTTATTGGAAGAGACTTGCAGAGTGTCTTTTGGACAAAATTAAGCTGGAGTTAAATGAGGTCTTGGCTGGAAAATGTACAAAACAGTGTCTCAAACACATTTTAAGTATGGGATGATGCAACCTCAGGTGCTTTTCAACTTAGTGTCTTTTGAATTTAAATGCAGAATTTATTTGCCTAAATGTGTATTGTAAACTTTTTTGTCATTTGCGGTTGGTTTTTTTTCTGCAAAGCTAATTGATATCTCTTTCAGCTTAACATATGAACCAGTAAAGGCTGGTGGATGAAAATAGTCTCTGGTCTTTGAGCAGCAATTTAAGTTTGAATTTTTAATGTATGAATGATAGCCCATTTCTTGTTTCTTAAAACAGCTGTTTTTAATGTACTTGTATCTAATTATATGTGCATTTTTCAAATTGTACTAAGAGCGTAGCACAACTTGTCTCAGAAGTGGGAATGTATAAAAGCACTTGTCTTCTCAAATCGAGTATATGTTTTATACAACTGCACAGCATAGATTTAGATGACAAACAGCTTGTATTTATTTTCTTAACTTATTTAATGCCATACCATAAGATGACCTAAAAGTTTTTCAGTAGCTTAGAAGCAAATGTAAGCATGCTTTTATTCATCACTGAAATTTATACTCTGACAGTGATATTTGTTTATAGGGCACGAACACAGCCATTCCCTGTTTAACGGTGGTCTCAGTCACGGACACAGTCACGGAGGCCATGGTCACAGCCATGAACATAAACATGCCCATGGACACGCTCATGATCACAGCCATAGCCACGGACACTCTCACGGTCAGGATTATTGTCATGGTAAGTACTTAGTTAATGTCATGGACCATCTTGCCTCAATTAAATTTGCTATTAATGATTTACTGAATAAAAAGGGAGGGTGCTGGCAGCTTGTTGCAAACATACATTGGAGTATGTTCACTGAATGTGTGGGATGCTATACCACCACCATGTTTTGTGGTTCATTTTGGTAAATGCTGTTTCCGTTGCAGTAAGTTCAGTGTTAGTTTTGAGAGGTTTTGATTTACTTTTGTTTTTTGAATGTTCACTGTAATGTCGTATGTAAACAAAAGATAAAACAAGATGTATGCCATAACAATATAATGAAATTAGTTATCGAGCGTTCTGTTTCAGTTTTTATTAAAATCAATAGACAGAGTTAAGCTCCTTTGCTAGTGTTCTCCATCTGAATAATTTTACAGATCATGATATTAGGAAAAATGCACAAGCAATCTCACTTTGGGTATGTAGGGACTGATACATTGTACTGGGTTTGTGATCACAAATACCAGATTTTCACTGTCCTGTGTAGTTGTAATCTGTTTTAAATCTGGTTATGGAAAAGATACTTGGTATCTTAGCTATGCTTAAATCTCTTCTATAAAGGCGAGCAATCTGTGAAGAGAGATCCATGCAAAATGTGGTCAGTAGCCATGACTATGGGAGAAGGGGCAGTGTGGTTACTACCTGTTTAAATCAGTGCAAATGGAAGCCTTAGTGAAATGCAGGGTTGTCAATCCTTCCTGTCTAAGCCATAAACTAGAATCTGATGTGACTGAAAATGTGCACATTCAGAGTGGGGAATAGTGTGTCAACTGGCAGACAGAAGGTGACAAAATATAAAAATATTTACTTGTCCTTCCTTGCTGTTTTTAGTAGAAAATTGGTGCTTGTTTTCCAAGTGTTCTCCTGGAATTTTGTTGGAAAGCAGGAGCTCGCTGCCTCCTGCCTCTTCCTTGCTTCCCCATGCCCCGCACCCCAGTAGAACAGTAAATATAGCTCTGTTTTGTGCAATTTGATATTCAATCACTTTTGCATAAATAATTATACGTCTTCACTATAAGTCATTTGCTATCCTTCAACAAGTTTTCCTTAAAATATCTGGTGTGTTCCACAAAGGCATTAATCTGCTTGGATGAGAGGATTTTTTTACTTAGTTCTACCTTCTCCAAAACTTGTCCCTGTTGCTTTGCATTAGGTATAAATGTTCACTTAAATATTTCTGCTTAGCAAATTTATTTGACCTTCGTCTTCTTGCTTATGTGTATGTTTTGTATTGTTGAGAGAGCCTTATTTTGCTAAATGCTAGAAAGGTCTCACTTTTCAGTTTGTTTTCATTAAAAAACAAGTGTTGATCTTTTCATACATACATATATAAAAATCTGTTGTGTAAACTGTTAATTTCTTTTCTAAAAGATATGTTTTTAAGACTTTTAATTGCTGCACTGAAAAAACAATAGCTAGAGTAAAAGCCAGTCATTGTGAGCAGCTTGTCTGTTCAAGAAATTTCAGACAAGGAGAGACTGTAACAAAACACACCACTAGAGAGAGCCTTTGTGTAGGTTAATGTGCCAGTAATTGTCTTCACAGATGACCATTCTCTTGAAGGGATGGCTGGATCCAGCAAACAGATCTTACAAGGTATGATGAGAATAAGTTGTGGTTTATTTGTTTTATCATGGTCTGCCTGCCCGCCTATGATTCTCACACATCCGTTTTAGACGGTGCCTCTGGGTAAATACTGCATTTTTCTTAGAGAAGCTGTTTAGTGCAGTCCCTTTCCACCTGTAAACAGAGCAGTGCTGTGCTCTGTGCATCGCCGAGCGTTCAGACATTCACAGAAGTCTAAATGTGGTGCAGTGTCAACACAGTTTGAAAGGGAGATCCCAAAAGCTGGGATTCAGCTTCTGTTACTGATGCTGAAAAATCAAATAACAATAACCTAGGAAAGAGTAGTTAAAAGCAGAAACCTAAGGAGCCTAATTGCAATGTATGCCCTGGAAAGTGAACACCAGTGTTATTAAGATAGAATGTCTTTGAAAAATGCAGACTGATATAATTTTAAAGGATCCATGAGCTTAAAAACTTGCATTTCATAAAGCTATTACAGTTGGTTTGGTAAGATGGTAATTCATTCTCAGTTGTTTGAAGGGGTACTTGGAGTCCTTGAACATTAGTGTAAAGAAATTACTGATATTTTAGATGTCAGGTTTGATTAATTTTTAAGTGTTCAAAAGTTAGAGGGATAAAATTATGTGATGTGGGAGGTAGTTATTATTTGGTATACACAAATGTTGATAATGTTTTCTCTTACTGGATGGTTTTCTGGCTTGTTTGTAGTCCTTATAAAGGAACATTTTCAACCTCTTTGAGAACTGAATATAGGATACGGTAGTGTGTATGTGTCTATGTATATTTTTATATATATACACACTTGGTAGAATATATTTGAAAGTTCTTTCATGAAAGGCACATTTTAATTAAAGCATATTAAAAAGACTCAATTTTATATAATTTTTTTAAGATAATTTTCAATTCTGTGGTGAGTTGGCTCTAGAAAGCAACTCAGCACCCAGCAGCTGCTCACTTACTCCTGCAGTGGGACAGAGAGTGAATCAGAAGAGTTAAAGCAAGACTAGGAAAAGTCACTGAAGAGCTGATGTATGTGCGTTGTTTTTGTGAGGAGGGATTATCTGAGTGGAGGACTGAGTTCAAGCAGCTGTTTCTGAATGGCTGTTCCCATCATTGCCAGCAGAGAGCTCCCAAGGCTAAATTTTAACTAGCTGCAAGTGCTTGTTCCTTTGTCCTTTAAGGTAGTGTGTTATTCTTGAAAATAAGAGTGAAGTTGTTGATGTGTGCAGTATTGTTTAATTCTCAAAATAATTTGTCTTGGATTTTTTTCCAAATAACTTCTACAAGATATTGTCAAGGAAACATTGGCTTTGAAGCTTTACAGAGTTGTTTCTGTTAACAGTCTTTCCATCTAACACACTACTTATTGTCTATAGGCATCAGGGAATATGAGTTTCTTTACTGTAATATGGGTGGGTATTGAATGAAAAAAAATTAGCTACATCTGTTAATCACGACATAAGTTGATAGCCATGCCATGAAATACCCCTTTTCTGCCAAGTGCAGAAACAATATAAATTCCTCAAATGCTCTGTATTCTACAAATACATTGAAACCCTGTGATCACTTTGTGTGTTTGACTAAAAGTTGACCACAAATGTAACAAGCATTAATCATGTTATCTAGCAACTCTTCTCCATAAACTGTCTTTGAAATACTCCATTAGCTTTAAGCATACCAAGTTGTAATGGTATCAATTGATCTCTTCCAGGTGTATTTCTACACATTGTTGCAGACACGCTTGGAAGTATCGGTGTAATCATATCTGCTATATTGATGCAGAACTATGGCCTAATGATAGCAGATCCTATTTGTTCAATGCTGATAGCACTACTTATAGGTGTAAGGTAAGCATTGCTATCACTGGTATTTGGTTTGGAAAGGTTTGTCTGTTAATGACTTAAGACATTTGCTCTTCTTCCAAGAGTGACTTGTTACCTCTGTTCTGTACAGCTTCTCTGGTGTGCTCTTATATAAGCTGTCTTTCTTTTCCACAGGTACAGCTTTTGCTCTTAAATCGGCATATTTTACCCCTGCTTGCATAATGCTACAAAAATGCCTTTGAGGTTCAAACTGTAGAAACTTTCCTCTCTGTATTTAGTACATGCTTATATAAACCAATGTACTCCAGTAAATGGAGCAGAATGGCTTCAGGGCAGCAGAGTTGAGCCTGCTGGCACAGGATGTGCCCTTGTTCTTGACAAATCAAGGCTAGGAAATTTTTTTTTTCCCCTGTCGAGAACTGTCTTTTCCTTTGTTAATTTTACATTGTGAGATACCCTTATTCCTTTTAAAATCTGATGGAAATGCTTCAGTAATTCTGGACTTTCCTGGTTGTTGCTTACTGGGATCCCTGTAAATGTTGAGCTATTTGGATTAGACTGGACAAGCAAACTTTTCATTCAGTGATGCTGTTATCGAGGCTTTTCTGGCAGCAGTTCAATGGTGGCATAACTCCAGTTACAACCCAAAAACTGAACACCTTTGTCTCTTCAGCAGTGGTGAATGTCATCTGATTAATTGCAGCTACTTAAACCATATATGGCATGTTTATACCATGTGCATGGCAGCATTCACAGAATTATTGATGTGAATCTCCCTGTGTATCGGAGTAGGGCAACATGCTTCAGGGACTGAATGCCCACAGAAATCTGTGTGCTAGAGATTGCTATTAAATTACCATTTTAATACAAACTTAGTATTTTGACTTAAACTTCCTGTAGTTTCATAAAAGACAAATTATTACAAACTAATTCTATTACTGAAATCTCTGAAAACAGGAAAGGAAATGTGCAGGTTACCAACGGGAAACAAACTATTGCTGAGGTATATATATGTATATATAGCAGACTAAACACAGGTTCCCATATACTTTTTAAGGGTCTAGTTTTCTGTACAACAAAGGAAAGCCAATCAAGTCTCATTCACGTGGTATTTTCTGTTTTTTCTTTCGTTTGTGTGGCAGTTGGAAGAACCTGCCATAATAGAGCTTTCATAACAAAGCTGTTTATAGGTCTTCTAACACAGTCAAGAGGAGCATCTGAGGTCCATGGTCTATGCTGTGTAGAAGGACTGAAGAACTTATAGTGACAATATAAAGCTGTAAAGCCTCTAATTTCTCACCTGTTTTGTCTGAAGGGTTGAGCAATGCCTCTTCAGAGAAGTTAAGCAGTGCTTTTAATTCAAATGGTTGAGCTTTCCTGCAGAGAACATCTTTAATTAGAGCAAATTGTCCACTACTGGCCAGGTTGCTCTGTGCTGCTCCTGTGGTCCTTCACTAAGGCTGCTCTGAGGTGACATTGTCTGCTGAGCTCCTTGTGAGTTAGCACAGATCATTCTGGCTGCACCGTGAAAATCCAGTGTGGGATTCTTCTCAGGTTGTTTTCACTGACAAATCAATACACTTTTAGGCTTAGTGGAAGCAGGAATTGGGTAGCTCTTACTAGAGTTTAGAGAGGTAAGATCAGCCACTTCCCTTTAGTAGACTGTGACTGTCTGCACCCCAGTAAAAGACTGTCTTCAGTAGGATTGTATAGAAATATTGTTAATACCTGTTACATCTCATGCTTTGAAATTTATCTTTTTGGAGGAAGAAAAATACCTCACATACTGCTGTTCTGATCTAGAGAGGCAGAGGCATGAAGTCAGATCCTTTCTGCTTTGCAAATTTCATTATGCTTTTACCTGCTGTGGAAAGTTGTGTTTTCTCCATTTTTGTGTTTATCTGTTGAGCCTTGACAAGCAGAGGGCCTGGTAGTTTGTGGTTTCTCAATTGGAGGGCTATATCCTATATAAACTTTAAAAATCTCTGCACCGTAAATCTACGGCTGTTTCTGAAGGGTGAAGCTGGTGTGGGTGCAGGGCTGTAGCTCTCGAGTCACTGATACCTGATGAATCTTTGGTTACTTTCTGTCTATTTTATTTTATTTATAAAAGCATAAATAGGACATGCTTAAAATAGACAGGTCTGTTTTACTAGCACTTCGAACTCTTTTTTTCAAAAAAACCACCAAACTCTGCTGTTTCATAGTTGTTCAGGTTGACAATCTTCAAGTTTTCTCCAAAGTGTTTTCCTCGTAATTTGACGTGCCTGAAACAGTAAACAGTTTCTCAGGTCTCTAAACTGCTTTTAATATTTAAAACTAAATGTTCATTTGTTTTTTAGCCTTAGGATTCTTGGTCTTATTCTGAAATGTTGAAGCAATTTTAGTATTTCGATCAGCTATGTGAAATTAGTCATCAAGCAAAAGCCACAACTCCAGTCCAAAGCAAGAAGTTTGTCCGAAACCACTATTAGAGCCACATGTTTCTAGAAAGGCACCGTAGACGGAATTTGATACTAGATTGAACAGAGCCTGCAGACTGCATATTAAGTGGTCAAAGAATTGAGGCAATTTACTTCAGTCATTTAGTGAAGTTGTTTCCATGGGTTACATCGTTTTCACATAAAATCTAGAGCTGCTCGAACACCATATAATATGAAAGAGCTTTGGGGAGGACATGCCTGGTATGTTTGGGGTATACGTTTACAGTATTTGGGGCATAACAGTATAAAAAATTACTTTTAAAACTGAAGTGCTGCATTCACTAAGATTCAGAAGGAATGTTCTGTAGCAAAGCTCCCCCAAACTAGCATGCTTGTGGGTGATGTTTTGAGCCATCATTGCTCAATGGCATACGCTACCTTTATTTACAGGGTCATGGTGCCTGCCAGCCTTGCTTGAGAATCAAAGTATTCCATTCACACACAGACACAGAATCGCTCGGTTGGA